ATCTTTAGGGAAGGGTCTACAGAGTATTCAGGGTCTCACTACTAGATCGGACTCATAGTGATCCACCTTTTTACAGTCTCCCAAAGAGCTAGGATTAGAGGTGTGCACCACTACACCCCATCTCAATGGCCATCTCAGCATGCCCCAGGGGCTGGGCCAGGACACTGACACAAATTTTCATGACTAACATTTATTAAAATAATGATACTTAACATTTTAGTATGTGCTTTATCACTGGCCTTGTAAAAGCACTTTACATGCATCATTATATTTATTTTATGAATTTTGCAAGTGAAGAAACTGAGGTTTAAATGGTTAAGTAGTCTATTAAGGCCAGGTAGTACCTAAGTGAGGGGCCCAGAGTTGAAGCATGTGCAAGGTAAGAGAATGAAGAGAGCCAGGGTTCTTCATATATTAATAGGAACAAAAGACTTAGCCCAGTGGCCCCAACCCTTACTTTTCTACTGTAAATTTGTACTTTAGCATAATAGTAGCCAGCTGTGCATCTCAGGAAGTGATCTATGTGTTTACCCAGTTGTTATGAGTGGCAAGGTATATGCACACATGCAAAAGTGGCAAAACAAGATTTTTCCCATTTCATGCTCTGTGTAACTGGCTTTACATATGTTTGTCCAAGCATCACAGTGGGTCCAGTAAACCCATACTACTTCAGGATTTTGTTTGAAAAAAAGTTTTGATATTTCTGGTAGAATTAGACCAAATCAGTACAGTGGCATGTGAAAAACCAGATATGCAAGTTTTAGAGGCGGTCAGAAATGAAGAATTAGGGGCTAGCAATGTAGTTCAGTGGTACAGCACCTGCCTAGCAAGCACAAAGTAGGGAGTTCAGTTCTTGGTACCAAAAGAAAAAAAAAAGTGAATAATTATATTACTTATGCGTGGATGATGAAAATGATCCGTTATGGTAAAATACATGCTCTCATAACAGAAGGGTAGTATGGGTGGAGTAGTAGGAGGAAGCTGATCATCATGACTTTGACATCGGCCATGGGAGCCAAAGTTTCTTTGACAGTGAAATGGGGAAAGAACCAACAGATACAGAAACGGGTATTGCAAGCCTTGACTCAGATGACAAAACAGCAATCTAAGTATGTATTTGCATAGTTAAAATGTTTCTAAATGGCCACACAACCAAATGAAATGATCCAATTTAGAACTAGATCCTAAAATATAGTGAAGGTCTTGGCAGAGGTGAAACATATTAGACAGAATGCCAGCACTACCATTCAGTGTTGACAATTGTAACAGATGAAATGTAACAAGATGCTGTGAAATACATAAAGGTTAAACTGAGTTATGTACCATAGCCATATTCTAAAATTTATTATGACACCTCACTGGTTGAACTGGGAGCATTCATAGTTCTGCTGTATTTAGCAGGGATTTCTCATGGTGATTGTAAGCATGCAAAAGACTTACGGAAAAGCTATGGATCAAACTATGGCTGTTCTGTTTTGAAATTGTGACACTTCATTTGTTATTTTTGTTGTTATCATTGAGGTTTTTTAAGCAAGTGCACAGCTCATGTGAAAATGTTGATGTCTATTGCAAGCACTCATGACTTTTTTTTTTTTTGTGGAACCAGGTATTGAACTCAGGCCCTTGCGCTTGCCAGGGAAGTGCTTATTCCACTGAGCCATCTCCCCGGCCTACTCATGACATTTTTGATATTTTATTGATATGTTAGTTGCTAAATGCATCTTGTGTAGTAGGAAGCTCCTGACAGAATAGGAAGGGACTGCCACATAGGAAAGGAAAGCCAAACATATGTGCTGTCAGTATGAGCAAGACATGTACATGGAACATGCAGTTGTCATGTGTGAAGACTGCCATGAGTGTGACAGTTAAAGCTTATTTCTGTGGTAGAGTTCTTTTGTTATTTTCTTTCTTTCTTTCTTTCTTTCTTTTTTTTTTTTTGTAAAACTGGGCCATTTTAATGTTTTTACAGTTTAATAGTTTTCTTGATGAATGTAGTCATGAGAGTTGTTCGGCAGGATTCAAGTTATGGTTTTCCTGATTGGTTTGTAATCTTCAATAAGTGTAAGACGTTATTGTATGAAACATCTGTCAAACTAGTAAGACTGCATTGATGCATCCATCTTTTCAGGATTGTTAGTTACCTGGGCATATTTAACCCAAATAACCTTACCTTGTTGTGTCATAAGGTTCAACTCACTCATGTTCACCTCAATCACTGTTCCTTTGGTAATAACACCCAAAATTGTATACAGTGGTGATAAAGGATTTTTCACACCAAGTACTGGCAGGCAAAAGGTGGCTTTTAGTTCAGGATGTGTTACTTGGGTCTTCATAAAATGTAAGCCCACTGGCTTAATGAATCTTTCATATTTAGGTGGTTTTCTTTTAAAGCCATCTCCAACAAAGTAGACGTTAGTAACCATCCTCTTCTATGTCTTTTTTTTCCCTCTTTCCAGTTTGAATAACTTAATATTTCCATTTTTCTTTGAGCATGAGCTTTGGGCAGAGGAACTTCCCATTTTTCCTCCTTTTCGTTTTTGTTTAATTACGTTGGAAAGTACTTTTGCACGAGACTGTCCCTCTCTCTAGCCAGTAGGTAGGTCCTGCTCCTTGAGTCTTTCTATCATTCTGTTTGGTGTTTCTCTTTTCATGCATCTTGATAGTCTTCTTCATTTGGATTTTTCTCTGCATGGCGCTGTTTTTGGTAGAGCTCAGCTTTCAGGCCAATCATTTTTTTGCCTTCTTTGAACATCCATGAGCCTCTCGACTTTTCTTCTTTCTCTTGTTGTCATGGTTATCCAAGTACTACCAATAGCATTTATGGTGTAATTCAATATATTCATTCCATGGCATGATGACAGCTGCAGAGCTGCGGGGGTAGCCTCATGTGTGCCAAGAAAAGTCCTAACTTTGGGGGTGTCCCAGACGTACCTTTTTTGGTATTTTTATTGTAGTTCATATAGGAATTTATTTCTGATGTTATCTTTTAGGTTTTGTAAGCAGCTACACAGCTGTTATGTGTTGATGTCTGTTCTAAATGCACAATACATATTAAGAATTTGATACTTTATTTTATTGACATTTTATGTTCCTGTTAACTACACACTGTAAAATATAATTATTTCCTGACAAAAAAGCAAGACACTGTACTGTCAAGTCCTATAAAAGGTCAGGAAAGCACAACACGTCCTGCTAGTATAGGCTGTGTGTGTGGAATGTGCTGATGCCGCCTGTGCAGACTGCCTTAGGTGTTTTAACTGAAGTAAAAATTATTTTTTTGGTTAAAAAAAATACCAAAATGCCATTTTTTGGTGTTCTTTTTAACTTTTATAAGAATTTGTGTTTTTTTTTAACCAAAAAAGCATTTGTTAAAATTTTTCTTTTTTATAAGCTCAAATATTAAAAATTTAATACTTTATTTTTTCTTATTACTCATTGTTTAATAAAACTCATAAAATTAATAATTCATCAAAGGAAATGTTCCAAAGCATAAGTGTGGATCTGACAGACTCGTGTTTCTGCACCTTGATGACAAAGTTCGTCTCATGCGTAACCAGCATCAGGTGGCAGCCAGTGAGAGAGTGGAGTGCAGCACCAGCGTGGCAGTGTATGCAGGAAAGGGCACCAGCCTGGTCGGGGTCAAGAGGCCGTGTCGGGAAGGATGTGTCCCTGATTTTCAGCTCTTCTACTGGTTATAAATTCCAAGAACAGTGGTGTAGTTCATATACGAATTATTTGTAATACCATAGCCAAAGTTTGCAACTATGTGGATATAGTAAAGGTTTCTGTGTTGTGTGGAAAACTCAGAAGTCAGTAAGAATGACATTCAAACTGGGCTAGTGGCCGGATGTTGTGACGCACACCCGTAATCCCAGCACTCTGGAGGCTGAGGCAAGAGGATCATTATGGATTCGAGACCAGCCTGGGCAACAGAGTGAGCTCAAGGCCAGCCTGAACTGCATAGTGAGACCCTGTCTCAAAAAGACAGTAAACAAACAAACCCTGCTAGGTGAATAGGGAAAACAGGCAAATAGTACTGCTGTAACCAAGGAATATAGAAAACCCAGCCTTGTAAATAGTCAAATATATACATTTGTAAACTATAATGTGGTATGAATTTTGCTTAGTAAATTAGCAAAAATTTATAAAATGTTAATATCCAACACTTGTGCTCTCATTCATTACTGACAGCATTTTAAAGTAGTATGTTAGAAGAATAAAATAGTTCATTTAGTAAATAACCCTCATTCAATAATTTAGTAAAACTTTTAATGCCCATACTTATTTTTCTCTGATATTGAGAAGCATATTTTATTAGACTAATCTGCATTAAACAAGAAAAACTGCATTAGGTACTTTATTAAAATTAACTGCAAGGCCAGGGATATAGTTCAGCAGCACAGCGCCTGCCTGGCAAATATGAGGTCATGAGTTCCATTCCCAGTATGCACCCGCCAAAAAAATTAGCCACAGAAGAGAATAATTAGCAGCTCTTGAGCAGAAATGTTGATTTGAGGTTTTCCTTAAAATTATTAACCACAAGAGGCATATTTAAATTGCCGACCCACTGCATAATTGCCAACCCACTGTTATATTGTATAATAATCTGTCAGCAGCTCACTTACATGGCCTTGTGGTCAGTAGAAACGTGTCTGTTTTACACCTCAGTATTCGATAGTTTTGCCTCCGATTACTAAACTTGGGAAAATCACTTAAGCTCGTTGTTCCCTGTCACAGATTCCTTGAAAATTTTGCAAAGTATTTATTAAAAAACTGTAGAATATTGAAATGTATTAGAGTGTGATTGTGCAATTCTTTGGTTTTTTTTTTTTTTGATGGTACCAGGGATTGAACACAGGACCTTGCACTTGCCGGGCAAGCACTTATTCCACTGAGCTATCTCCCCACCCTGTATACAATTTAAAATACAGTTTTGTGTACATTTGTTTGCTTTCTATGGCTGTGATGCACAAGTAACTCCATGCTAAATTATTTTTTAGGTATTCACAGTTTTATATGGAGGATAGCTTTTGCCACTATAACATGTTTAACCACCATTTTTTTGATGGAAAGGTAAGAATCATGACTATTATCTTTCTTTTTTTTTTTTTTAATTTTTTTTTATTTATTTGAGAGAGAGAGAGAGA